GAATATTATTTATTATTATATATAATATTTATCAATCAGATATAAGATGGATATTATAATATGTATATTTTATTATAACCATGTAATATATTAAGATGTAATATATTAACGGTATTCTGTGTATGATGAAGGAATAAGAAGTATTTAAAATAAAAAGATATTTTACTTACATATCAGTGACGTAGTACAATAAGCTTAAATTTCAAAATGCCTACTTCAATGTCTTTATTTCTGATAATAATTCTTCTTTGATAACGGATCTAATTAAATTTAGTAGAGAAAAATACATGTATACTGATATAAATATTATAAGTAAGTCATCTATTCGCGCAATTCACACTCACAAGTTTCTTTAGTTTTACCGCAGCAACGTTGTTAACACTTTTCTTTCGGATTTATTTTTCGTGTCTCAGAGGACAAAATGTTTTTAAGAAATCTCACTGTTATTCGGTTGCTAAGCGCAATATATAATTAAACATTTGATGTTTAATCCCAACGTCGCACGTTGCAACTATACAGGGTGATTCAAAACAACCTTCTGTCCTTACAATGTCATATACTTGACTCAATTCTAAGACGATTTTTCCTTTGCCAAAATTTTTTCCGAGGCTTAGTTTTCAAATTATAAGCCAAAATAGTTAACGAATTACGGGCCGCGTACGCGAGGCAGGCAGGGGCGGCGCAACTCACCGTCCGATGCTGGTGATTACGTGAAGCGCTCGCTGCGATCAACTGTTTGCTACATGCGATGGGTATAACAGAGAAAGACAGAGAGTGAGAGAGAGAGAGAGAGAAAGAGAGCGTGTGTACGATCAGCTGTTTGCCACACGCGATGGTTGTAAAAGAGAGAGAGAGAGAGAGAGAGAAAGGGAGAGAGAGAGAGAGAGAGAGAAAGAGAGAGAGAGAGAAAGAAAGAGAGAGAAAGAGAAAGGGAGAGAGAGAGAATGTGTATGTGTGTGTATACGCGTATACGCACGCGCGCGCGCGTTCTCTCTCACACATACACCCCATCGCATGTAGCAAACAGTTGATCGCAGCGAGCGCTTCACGTAATCACCAGCATCGGACGGTGAGTTGCGCCGCCCCTGCCTGCCTCGCGTACGCGGCCCGTAATTCGTTAACTATTTTGGCTTATAATTTGAAAACTAAGCCTCGGAAAAAATTTTGGCAAAGGAAAAATCGTCTTAGAATTGAGTCAAGTATATGACATTGTAAGGACAGAAGGTTGTTTTGAATCACCCTGTATATAAACAATGGACTATCTCTTCTCGCCGCGCGCTTATACTTGCGCGAATTGACCGTTTTTTGAAAATTATATTCTCATTAACAATAATATATAACGGGCTAGTAGGAGCTGTGCGTAAGATTAAGGACGCAAAATAAATCTAATCATTAAAATTTAATAATTTAATAAATTAAATAAACGTTTCTGTCTATCTTCTGGCCATCTTCAGTCACAAATAAATAAAAGAAAGTCAAATGTCGTCAGTAACTGAAAATTAATACATAATAATCATTGTGATACAAATTTCAAAAGAAAAGTGGATAAAACGGTACATGTAAATACAGACAAAACATACGTTATAAATTAAAAAAGGTCTAATGTTATTATGGTCGGAGTCTAATTGCATCACAATCCAAATAAGAAATTTTATAAACTATACATTGTTATGTAGTTCTTTCGGTAATGCATCTTTATGCACTTTTATGAACTTACTAAGTCTGTTTATTCCCGTGTATGATATTTTTGTGTCTAAATCTTTTGTGGCCTTTTTAAAAAGTTCAGAGATTAGAGGAATGTATGGGATGTTAAAATAAGATATTTTTTCATTATTATTCATATCTGTGTGATTATTTGAAGAGTTAGTGTTTTTATTCGATGTTTTTAAAACGAGAAAATATAAACGTTCCCTCATTACTTGGAAACTGAGAGGGAGTGGATAACCATTATTAAGAAGAATATTAATCACTAGCTCAAGGTTTTTTTGTTGAGATCCCGGATGAGAAAGCGAAAAAGCTCTATTTGTTAGACCGATAATTGTGCCCTTCTTCTGGCATAGGGGCTGCGACTTATTATACTATATCTTAAATTCTGCATCTTTCCTAACGGCCGGAACCGATAGAAAGCTCCACCTGAGATTTGCGTTTTAAGCGCATGATTGATGTTAACATTAGACTCTGAGCATGACGACATTTGACTTTTTTTTAATTTGTAACGTATGTTTTGTCTGTATTTACATGTACCGTTTTATCCACTTTTCTTTTGAAATTTGTATCACAATGATTATTATGTATTAATTTTCAGTTACTGACGACATTTGACTTTTTTTTATTTATCTGTACTGAAGATAGCCTGACGATAGACCGAAACGTTTATTTAATTTATTAAATTATTAAATTTTAATCTTTATATTTATTTTGCGTCCTTAATCTTACGCAAGGCTTCTACTAGCCCGTTATATATTATTATTGTTATTTAACATTGTAAACCTTTATGATTTTTTATTATATTCTCATTAATTATAGCAGAAATTTCAAAATAGTATAAGACTTTCTTATATTCAGTTTAACCCACTACTTGCACACGAGATATAGTTATTACCGGACACCCTGTATACTATGCTTAGGCCCATAGTGCACAAAAACTTAAACAATAAGATATAAACAGTAAACGATCATATCCAAGTATTCTCATGGATTAATTGTAAGACGTAAACAATAAGCACGAAAAAGTTCATTTATTTACTTAAGTTTTTTTTGTATACTGTATGGATCTTAAACCCATATCAGACTATACATTGAAAATTGAAATTGAAGATTCAAGATTGAAATTTGATCAATCACGACAAAGAAATTTTAGTTCTTTTTGTTGTGATTAATCAATTCCAATTTTTGATCTTCATCAATTTTTAATCTTCAATGCATCTGATACAGGCTTTAGAGCCATGGTATACAAAGAAGTCTCATGCTTGTTTCTACGATGATCTAGAATAAAAGAGAATAAATATGAATACAGTTTTTGTCTTATGGCCCTTGTTCATAGTCAAATCTTATTTTGAAAAGTTCAGTTTTAAACCTTAAGTTTAGTTTTAAGACGTCCTCTAATAAAAAAAAATATTTTATAATTTTATTTTTTTAATACTTTGTTTTTCTGTATTTCCTAAATTTTTTATATCAAAATTTAATAAAGTATTGTATTATAAAAATAAAAATAAATACTTCGTCTTTCTTGTGTTTTCTTAATTTTTCATATTAAAATTTAATGAATATATATGCATACAAAAGCACATATTTTTAAATATATCTCTTAATATTATTTTAATAAATATCTTGATAAGTATCTTATTTTCGTAAAGTTTATCCCCAACCAACTCGGCATGTAATATTGCTGAAATACTGTAATGTTTGAAAATGGTACAGAAATATTTCATTAATATTTCAATTGTAACTTTGCATCCGAAATATTTCGGAAATGTACCTGTATCATGTTTTTTAAAATATTGCATTTGCAATATTTCTGAAATCTTTCAGAATGTCCTTTTGTAACTAGTATTAATGTTATAGTTTATTTGCTTACCGCTATGCGGCGCGCTATTCACTGTTTGTACCCGTATTCAAATTTTTGTCATGAGCGTATATAAAGCCTGCAAAATGCGGTTAATAATATTATAATTATTTTTACCAGAATGGAATATTGCAGCAATGTATCAGAAATATTATATGCCGAGTGGGAATATATTATCTTATAAAAATAAAAATAAATACTTCAAGTAACAATTGCCTAAAATAATAATTCTAATATATATTAATAATATTTGTATGTATCTTAGTGACACATATTACACAAAATAATGTTGCAGAAATATTAAAGTATAATATCACATTTTTTATTTTCATGATTCGTTTGACAAATAAAATCATCGGTATCGTCTACTTTGCTTTGCCAATTGCGCTCCACCTTCTATTCCTGATCCTAAAAGGATATGGAAAAAATTTATATATAATTCAATTGTATATAATTCAAGACGTAGCAAGAATTTATATATAATTCAATTAAGAATTCAATTTAGAGATTTTGCGATATTCGTTCACAAAGCATTATATGCATGCTAGTTTCACATGAACTTAAAACTTTTAATGCAAAGTGCAAATTATACACAGTTGACAAAAGTAAATTTCTAACACATACGCAGAAAATTACAAATCTGCTGACAATTCTTGTCTACGTTGTTGTTTCTTGCATTGTATTAAAAATTGCAAAATCATGTGGAACTATATAATTATATAGACTAAAAGTCAATTTTATATTTCCAATTTTATAGTTTTAATTTAATCATCATTACAAGTTAATACAAAAGTATTAATCTGAGACTTACAAATATATATAATACAAGCATCTGTTTATTGCACGAATTGCCAGAATGCAAGTTTAGTATTTTTTGAAAGGCTGGAATTAATTTATTAGGAAATCACATGAGAGAGAAAGAGCGAGGAAATATAGTTTTTATTAACATACTATATTATTTGATAATATATCAGGTAACATATATATACGATGAAAAAGGAATTTGTGTGCCAAATCTATTAACGATGTCGAGGACGTGCAAATAAAAAAATCTTTATTCAGGCGCAGAGGCGGCTGTTTCGAGGGCTCGTTTCTCCGCGGTCAGCAGAGTAATTTTCTCGCCGTATTTCTCACGAAGACTCTGAAATAAGGACAGCTGGGTTTCGTATTCCTTCTTGAGATCCGCGTTAAGTCGCATCGCAGCATCCATTTTACTAATCATCACGTTATGCCGATCGCGTTCCTCGGAGATTTTCTTCTCCATATTATCGACTTCAGTCTACAACGCATATCACATATGTTAGTTCAAAAATATAATAATTCTGGATCACTTTCTCCCTCTATTGACGCACACTTGTCAGCGATGATATAAGAAACACTTTCAAATAGAGATAAGTCAAAAGGAATTAATTCAATTTGTGTATATGTGTACGAGAAGTCTTGATTTGCGAAATCTCGAATTCTTTTTTTCTTGAGTATTTTTCTTTATTTAAAAAAATTTTTTTAAAATAGAAAAGAGAGAACTATTGAAAAGTAGGGCTGTTACTTTTGACAACTTTGAAGAATATATTCGTGCGAATGGCAAATTCATTCAAGAAATGCTATAAATATTATAAATAAAAGAAATTAATTAATATATATGCTCAAAAAATATGTAATTATTCAGCATTAATTATTGCAACATTAGAAATTTGATTCGGATTTTATTATATAATTTTATAAATGTGTACCTTGATAGTAATATCGCGGTACTATTACTATTATATTAAATTAATAATTGTGTAATTTTGATTCTTCGAAGTTTCGAAGATTGAAGTATTAAAGTTTCGAAGGTTCGAAGCTTCAAATCTTCGATCTTCGAAGATTTTAGTGCCAAAACTTCGAGTCTTCAAACCTTCGAAGCTTTGAATGTCGAAGTCTTCGAAGCAAATCACCAGCCTTAATCAAAGAAGGAACTGAGAAAGAATTTTTTTTTCCTAAAAAGAATCTTGTCTTGTTTTTGGATAGTTCTTTTAGATTTTATGTATATTGTATCTCTCTCTAACACATACATATACTGTTGCATATAAATATCGTCAAGGGAATGAGGATAAGATCACCGCGACTCACTTGCAACTGCTTCACTTCCATGTTACGGATCTGCAGCAGATCTCGCGTGATCGATACCACCTCTTTCAACGAAGCCACTTGATTGTTCAGGGCGTTAATCTGACTCTCCTGATTCGTCGCCACGCGATTCCGCTCCTCGTACATCAATGCGGTCTGCGCCAGCTGACCGCGCAATTGCTCCACCGATTGTTGCAGAATGTCTTCGGCATCATCGTGATTTGTTATTGCCTCACAGGACGCCTGCAACGCGGCCAGCTTCATCTCCGTTTCTTCCAGCTTCTTTCGATAATCATCACGCTCCTTCGTTCTTTTCTATCGGAAGATCATAAAACAATCATATCAGTTGATATCAGATTCTTATGTAAAAGTTGAAAGATCCACGAATCTTTAAACAGCTTGTATCGAAAAAGGCAAGATTCTGTTCTGATAAAATGATTTTTTGTAGAAAAATTATAGGATTTTATATACAATACTATTTCCCTAACGATACACATATCCAAAAGACATCCACAGGATGTGTGTTGTTAGTGTTGGATTGATTACTAATAATGTTATATATATATATATATAACAGTTTTAACAATTTTAATTATAATCTTAAATAAAATAATTAAAAACTATAACAAATTATAACAGAAAAATAATTTAAAAGACATAATTTATTTGGAAGTTTTATGAGAAGAGCTATATGCATATAGCAAAGATGCAGGAAATGACCAGATAATTCTTTACTAAGAATATGATGAGATTTAACTCCATTATCATGCTGAGATGAATCGTTTCTTTCAGGACAGTCATCCGCGTTCTCCCCGAATTTTCTCACCCGCACTTCTGCCTCCAGATCGGATATACGCGTCGCGTTGTCGTTTCTCGCATTAAGCTTCGATGAGTTATCAGCCTAGATACAACGGGAGAACACGATTGATAAAGAAATAATAATTAAAAAAAATAATTAGAATAATAATTTAAAAATCTACAGTCGATTATAATCCATAATCCGATTATTTGTTCTTTCTTTTTTTCACCTTCTTTTCAGATCTCGAATGCGGCATTTTTTTATTTTGAAGAGCGATTTCTTCACTTTGAAATAAATTTTTAACTTCGGATTCTTGCGCGTCGATAAATATCGCAGCTTTTTCTGTAGCTATCTCTTCGCCGAGTGTGTCATTTATTGTCGCTTCTACCAAAGGCTCGGTTTCAGCCTGTACATTTAAGGTCGATACTGAAGCTTCTTCCGCGGCTACAGTTTCATTATCGGAACATTTCGACTCAATAGTTGATAGCGAAATTGCGTCATCGGCACAATCGGTATTTTTTACGAAGGGTGCATCTCCACCGGCCGTAGGATCTGTTTTACTTAATTTCGACATATCTCTCCTTCTTTCTGCAAGAATGACAATTAATTAGTGATTTCAATCCCGATGATAAAGTCAATGCCGTAGCGTCGAGTCGCAAGAAGAACAGAAGAACGCGAGAAATGATACTATTTTTTTGTTACGCTTTCCACGTGTCGTATTTCAAGCGAATAAAAAATGTGTGTGTCACGCATCTTCGTTAAATATCATTTCATATTAAATATATGTTATGGATTATCGAAGCTATAAGAAACTATAAGAAGCTATGACTCTTGCGCTTTAATATGATATTCGCACTCTCAGTTATGTGATGTAAACAATTTGTGTTTACGGAAATTGAACATCAATTAATTTTGTTATATATACGTTCCTCGCATTAACAGATATTAATTAATTTAATTAAATTTAGTGATACGATTCTTTCGAAAGTATTAATAATTCCTTTCCTGATTCTTAAACAGAAATTGTGACGCTTATCTAAATAGCCTACTGATGTATGTATCGAGAATGATTTACTTGTTAGAAGGACAGTGCACGTGTATGTGTGTCTGGTATTCTTTATCAAAGAAACACTTTCATCGAAACTTCACTGTTAACCGGAGCGACTGGACATCGACGACTAAGTAGAAGCGTAAGATATTTTTGGCTGCTCGCCGTTCGTTCTATTTCGAGTTACATATCTCAGCAGTTTATAATGATATTCATACGCTCAGTTATGTGATATACACAAATTGCGTTTACGGAATATTTTTATACGTTTCTCTCATTTAACGTATGTTCATTCATTTAATTTAAATGACATTTAAAATTACAAAATGCAAAAATTCAGATATATATTAAATATTTATATCTTAAAAAATATATATTATCATCAAAGTATTAAAGAAATTCAATTAAATAATCGCCGATTTTACATACACCGAAATTTTATTTTATTAGATAAAGAATTATTCTTCATCAAAAATATTTTTTTAATAAATCCTCAAAATAGTATTAACGTGCGAGATGAATAGTGTTATTTCGTTGTCATCCATCCAATTCAAAATGTTTAATCCGAGACGAAATCAAAGATGAAAGCTACTCGTGCGCTCGAAATAAATTGAATTTTTCCGAGAGAGCTTCTTACTGGAAGGTCTAATATCCTCACTTCTTATCTATTGTCTTCGCAATGCGAAGTATATGAGGCGGTATTTTTCGAAACATAATATTAACAGCCGATACATGATGATTTTTTAACAATACACATCGTATTGAATAAGGAACTTTTCGAACTTTAAGTTGAATGTCTTATTGAATTATCTGATTTTTTACGTGATATATTGAACTATCTATCTTTTACGACACTTCTTTTTCAACGATATGTTGCACTCTTCTTATGCACATACACACATTTAGAAATTCATTAAAAATTTTAGAAAAACTTTAGAAGTCTAGATGTAGACTTACATTGTTATATAAGGATACATATAGAGAAAATAAAAACAATCTCCGATAAATATATAGCATCACAGCTTTCAGTATAATTGTAACGTGAACATAAATTTATTATATTTTAGTTTGTTTTTTCATAAAATTATTTTATTTTTTTAAATTCGTATAAATGATCTTATAACCATTATTAAATAGTATTTAACATTTTTTTCACAATTTTTTTTCTTCGACATTTGGAAAGCATCATGGTATCCGCATCAACTAATTAGAAATCTTTTTTAAAAATTTCTAACTTTTCTAAAAATTTTAAACAAAAATTTGTCATCTGTTCATTCAGAAAGGGCATTAGAACAGACTCTAAAACAATAGCCGATATAATCAAGAGAGATATTGAAAACACGATATATATAAAAGTTATAATTGTTCTTTTTTTTATATAAATATATAATCAAATAGTTTTTTTTTCAAATCACACTTAATTCGCAACCTCTCTTCCTGTCTCTCAAATGTGCTTTAAGTATCTTTAAAAACTGCAGCCTTTGTAAATGGGTATAGGCAATGGATAGCATTTGTAAAACCGTTGTTTGAACGTGAATGCCGCCGTTTGAAAAGAGATCGTGTCCTAGCTCCAAACAAGTGCCAAAGTCGCATTCGTCCGCGGCTATCGTCGCTAATCTTACGATCTCGTCAAGTTTCGCGAACGGCGTCTTTCTCTCATCCGAAGTACCAGATTCTTCTATCTGTTTTAATATCTTTTGCAAATCGTCTGTAACATACCGATAAGAAATTTATTCGAATCAGCACTCAGTTACAAAATGTAATCAAACTACGAGGGCTGTATGATAAGTACCCGTGTTAGGGAAGGAAACGCATTTAAAAAAAAAATTTTTTTATCTATTCCTCAACATAGTCTCCTTTCAGCTCGATACACTTACAAGGAACCTTCGGCAACGCGAAAATTCAAGAAAATCTGAAACTTTGCATAATTATAGAGTAGTAGTCCCTAATAACAAAACGATTTTTTGTTGGTGCTAAAAATCGGTTTCAGGGGTGAAAACAACCCCTTAGAAAAAATCGGTTTTTACATTCCGAAGCGAATATTATTGAAACAAAAAGAAATATGAAAAAATTGTTTAAACAAAAGTTTTATGGTTTCAAATGTACTTTACAATGGCGTATCTGGATTTTAAATTTTTCGAAATATCCCTATATATATATACTATATATTAGTTTTCTCGAAATTTTCAGTCTACTTACTCGATAGCACCAAATATATTTTCTGCAACAGACTCAAATATGCAGTTTATATTTGCTCGATTTTTTGCTACAAACACAGGTTTCTCCGTAGCGGTATCTCGCCAGTAACCATAATGTAACTCTTCCTTGCCATCGCATTTTATAATGGTCTACAAATAACATTTTTGTTAGATTTGTATTTTTATACAAATAACATTTACAAACATAATGTTATTCTCATGGATGTTAGTTGTTGAGAATAAATGTTGTTCATCATACAAACCTGAAATTCTGGAGGATCATAATAATATCTCCAGTGTATCAAGTATTTTTCTTTATCGCTCGCACTTTCAAAATCTTTTATTTTACCGTCCAGCACGTCGTACGGACCGACAAGTTTTAAGGAAACCGATTTACATGCCAGAAGAGGATTATCTTTCGATATACTTTTACAAAATTCGTAAAACTGAAAAAAATCGATTGGCATCTCGACCAGGAATAGATCCATAATAATTTTTTCAGCATCAGACATATTATCGGCATTGGATGTCGATAATATATTCTCAACTACGCTGCACTCGACTGATTCAAGTGAACAATCATACTGCTTCGATGATGTCTGCACAACTATCATATCTTTATCTGACACTTCTGTTTTCACATTAAAGTTTTTGTTACCATCCTCGTTGCTGTTCCTGATGTTGTTTCTCTCCGGACTCGGGGACATATCGTGCAAATTTTTTTGACAGAACTCAGATATCTTTTGCAATTTTCTCTGTGGACTTTTCCTCTTCTTATCATCTTTAAGGGGATTTTTTCTCTTTATGCTGGTACTCGTTTTCTCAGCTCTTTGATTCATCTGCAATGTTCTTAAAAGGTAAATAATAGCGATTACGTATTGATATATCAGTTAACTTTAATGTATCTCTCAATTCATAGATTTCTATATATTATATATTACAATATAATATTTTAATCATATTATATAGAATTCTATAATACACAGGGTGTTTTAGAAATACTTCAACAAACTTTGAGGATGAGCTCTCCACACAAAAACAAATGTCATATAAACATAATCCGAAAATGCCTGGTTTAGCATTTGAATGATAATGAGTTATAATCGAAAAATTACATTCAATTCAGTACCATGGACTGACCTAAGTCCATTATATTTTTATCTATGGGGACACTAAAAAGTCCTAGTTTATGTAACTGAAATTGCAGATAAAGAGACGCTTCATAAATGCATTTTAGATGCCTGCGAAACCATTCGCAATCGTCATGAGATCTTTGAAAGAATGCAACAGTCCATGATCCGATGTGTTCATGCTTGCATTCAAGCAGATGGAGGACATTTTGAGCATTTGTTATGAATTGTGAATAGATAAACAATTGAAAGATGAAACAACTGAAGATGTATTACATTGGTCATTATAGATATATTCTATCAGTTTTTGTCGTTGAAATCTTTCGATTATAACTCATAAACCAGGCATTTCCGGACATATGTTTATATGACATCTTTTACTTGTTTTTGTGTGGAAAACTAATCCCTAAAGTTTGTATTTCTGAAACATCCTGTATATAGAGCGTATCAATTATTGACGATTTGTATACTGTTTTTTGCGAATTAAGAGTTGTATGTAAGAGTACGATACCATTTCTTTTTTTGGCGGGTGTTTGTACTTGCTATGATGCTGCGGATTTTTCTGATAACACTTTACACCGAATTGACAAGGAATTCGCGGATCGTCTTTATACATCTGAAGTTGAACGTTCTCGTTATCGGACGACATCGTACACGTAATATAAAAGATATATTATATTATTCCACTTTTCATTACATTATCATAAAATTTAGAATCTCTACGTACGTGTAACTAATGCGCTATCACTATCGAGCTTATGGCTGCGTTCCGATATTCATTGCCAACTCCCAGTACTGAAAATCTATAGTGTACGTGACGTAAACTATAGATTTTCTGTACTGGCAGTGAATATCGGAACGCAGCGCAGCCTAAAGCCCGTATCATTCTTCTTCTTCGGTTTGATTGGCACTGGTTAGGTAATAACCCACCACTCGGCCAGGTGAGAACGGTTAAGTGAATAATTAGATTTGAGAGTATAAGCAAAAATCCTCTCTAGAGAGGATTAAATCCAAAAAAGCTTTTAGTTATAAGATTTCTAGAGATTTCAATAAAATTCTTCAAGACTCTAAAAATCCTCTAAATAATAGCCAATGATTGCTTATCTAGTCAAGATACGATTCAAGATATTTATTATGGAAAAATTAAAATATCATTTTATGTAGGTGTAATATAAAAAAATTTTTAATATTAAAAAAATTGTAAAATTAGTTTTTAAATACTAAAAAAAAATAAAACCGGTATATCGATTTTTCGATTTTTCTTTTGCAACAATCGATTATTTAGTATCGATTTTTTTCATTTTTATTAATTCTTTCCATATCGGTTTTTTCTTCAAAATCGCGCATCGCTAGTTCTGATACTTCACGTCACGTTACGTAAAGTCGATCATAATTAGCCGCATATAAAACAAGAGTGTTTTAGGTTTTACGTCACTTCACGCCCCGTCGCGTCCCGTTACGTCAAGTTCATCGTAATCCCGGCATAAGGCTGCGGTCGGGAAGACGCTAGAAATGCTTCGAAGCGTTTGATTGACCAATCAGGACAATAAGAGTAAAGATTTCTTTATTTTGATTGGTTAATGCAATGCTTCGAAGCGTTTGATTGGCCAATCAGGATAAAAAGAGTAAAGATTTATTTATTTTGATTGGTTAATGCAATGCTTCGAAGCATTTCTAGCGTCTTCCCGACCGCAGCCTTAGGGTGCCATTACATGGAACGCGGAACGAGAGTGAAACCAATCGCGAGCATTCTGCAGTTTTTGTTACGCTCGCGATTGGTTCCCTTCTCGTTCCGCGTTTCCGCGCTTCATGTAATGGCACCCTAAGTCTGTTCATTTCGACGATACTTTAATTCTTTTTCCGACGTTTGAAAATTTGCACCTGTTGCATAGCAAATAGATTTTGTGCACAAAAAAGTAAAAAAATACAAATATACATTTAGACTTTGAGACAAGAATAAAATTAAAGTATAGTAAAAAACAAAAATTGCAAGTAAAAGATTATTATTCTACATATTCATATCTCTCTGTCTTCCCTAATATAATATATAGTTATAAATAAAATTATATATATATATATATATATATATATATTATTTTTATTCTTTAATAATTATTTTTGCGCCTGCAAAAATATTGTATAATACAGACTATAAAACGTAAATTGTATAGAAAATTTCTGTAACATTTAATGTTATTCTGGTAATTACATTTGTAATAAATTCAATTCTTAATCCAATTTAGATATTTATAATTTGAAAAAGAGGAAAACTATGTTTATATAACCGTATATATATATAATTGATCTTTATTATATCCTGTAACATTTTTTAACAAATTGTATAATTTTATATATATAGTTATGTATAATATGTATATAATATTAGTAATCATAAAGAATGAGAATATATACTATATATGTATAATTGAAGTGTAATAAAAATCTGAAACTTTTTTAACTAAATTCGTACAACTAGAATATTTTCAAATTAATCGAAACAGTATCTTCTAATCTTAAATGCACGTGTGCGCTCCTACTTTTTTTTCGTATATAACTGTTCTTTCTACCAAGCTTAAGAATCCTCTTAATAAAAAGAATATTGCTATGCTCATCGATACTGAACGAATAATTTAAATCCATAAACAGCATATAAATTACTTGTTTAACATTATGCGTTAGGTAGATATCGGCCTTATTATCATATTAAAAATGTATATTACTCTTTTTTTCTTCAACACGAGGAATGTGTTTACGCCACCGCTCGTGCCTCCGGCAAGAAGCTCTCCCAATACTTGACGAGTTGATTCTGGTGTTGCAGCATAGACTCCAGATACTCAATTAGCTGCTTCTTAAAATCTTGCACTCTGACCAATTCAAAACGTTCGACTTCCTCTTTTATCATTTTCGAGATATTATCGAATTCTTCCTGACCTCTATCCACCTTTGCCTCCCATTCTATGACTTCAGTAGCCGCTTGACTCGTCTTGTCCGTCCGGCCGGATTGCTCGAGCCGCGCTTTTTGCTCGCGCTTCTTGTTCAACATCATTTGAGCGTGCTGCCAATTTTGAAAGACTTTCACTCTCTCATGAAAAACATCCTGCGCAGAGGAACATCTCGTATAAAGAATGTAACTAAAATGAAGAACATAAATACAATCGTAAATCGTAAACACCAACTTTAATTGCGCCAATGAGCGCAACGTAATCCCTCAACATTTCTCCAAATTGATAGAGATCGCTGTTGCTTTGCGTCTTCCTGATGACCTCGACTTTTTCTAGAGTTTCGGCCAATTGTGCTAATGCTCTGCCGAGCGATGCTCCCGGTTCACCATGACCAAGGACGGCAATCGATTTTGCCGTAGCGCCGGTACAGTTTGCTAATTCTCTTCTTTGATTTGTTAAGCAATCGACCGCGGAATGCAACGCGCGTAATTGAATATCAAGGGAATCTATTTGCGATGTTTTCTCTTCAAACCACTGTAAAGAAATATAGATAATCGTCTTCACTCAATCTTTTTTCAAACAGTTTTGTATATTTTATATGTTTATATAATAGATAACTGTTGTTGCCAAATAGGCAGACATTATTTTAAATTTTATATATATTTGACACTATGTACCACATTATGTAATAATTTATCACAATATAATTGTAACTTTAAGTGTGTTTAGAACATGTGTGTGAATTAGATTAAAATACTAATAAACAATATTCAAATCAACATGTTGATTTCAAATGAACGTACCTTACTTTCCTAATGCAAGCAACAAAAAGTCATTTCACGATACTTTATAGGAAATACATGCAAGAAGAAATATATGTTTATATTGAAGAAATCTCACCATATCGCTTTCATCCATTTTGTACGTTATCTTGTTAACAGTTTCTCCGACTTTGTTGAAAAGTCGCATCACTCCTTTGCCACTTAATGCGGATGTATTGGTAGCCTTAGGCAATTCTATATCTATAAAAGAAAATTAAATATTAATTTGAAAATATTTTTTCTTTTCATACAGAAGAAACATAATTTTTCAAAACGCTTATGTAATTTAGTAAGAGATATTATTACTTACCAGCTTCTAAAAATTCTCTGAAATCAGGATCAATACTCAGAACAGGATGTGCAGCTGTTCTGTTCAAGTATCTCTCGAGAGCTGCTCTACGTCGTTCAAGAAATTCAGTAGAACTCGAATTTTGTTCTTGACTCTTATCTCCAGACATTTTAATTTTTGTCGTTCCTATTAATGTATATATAATATACATGCAATTCTTCGTAATTTTTCTATAATTATGCAAACAAACTACAAAATTAAATTATATTCCTACCAATAACGCTTTTTTCTGGGGCTGGTGGAATTATCCTGCCGTTTCTAAGATATTTTTCTGTCAATTTGTCATGAAGACCTAGAAAATCACTGAAACGTCTAATCACACTAAAGTTCCTTTTTTTAAAGATAAGCATATTCGTCCTTGTTTCAACTTTATATGCAACATAGGCGCCCATTCCATCACCTATCTTTTGAGGAGAAGTGACAGTAATCTTTAAGAAAACTTCAGATGCATCTGCTGGAACCTATATTACATACATATAAAAAATAACATAGTATTCAAGTTATTTAATAGCAATTTAAGTCACAATTGTATTAATACAATTTTAATATACCTCTTCTAAAGACCGAGAGTGGATAATGTTTGTAGATAGTGTATCTGCATTATCATTGATAGGAACGTCATGAAGATCGCCGATATCTGTATTCATCGGTCCTAGTGGAGGACTCAAGGGACCTGGAGCTGGACTGGACATGGAGGAAAATGAATTCTCTTCTGGTGCATCTCGCAGAGATAGCTTCGGCAATTCCGCTTGAATTTTGGACACTCCATTGTAAGGTGAAATATCCTCCAATTGGCTCTGTTCCTATAAATATATTGATGTTACCACAATCTGTGTGCGAGTTTACAAACTTTGGTCTATGCATGTCACAATGAATTATTGTAATGTTTCTTATCGTGAGTCTTATGTGTGATGGCAAAATTATCAATCGTGTAGAAACATTACTCCATTGGATATTGAAACCAATGTAATTTTGACGAGATTAATTTTTTCTTCCACATTTATACAGGATGTTCAAAAAAGGTGGTACTAAATTTTAGGAGTATGTAATACTTGTAAAAATAAACCAGTCTTAATAAGTAGTACTCCAAAAACCATTTATTGCCAAGTTATAAAGTATTTTCTATTATTAAATAAATTCTATCTATAGCAGATGTTCAATATGTCCTCTGTTCATTCCAACACATTATTCGGCATGCTTTCTCATTGAAGATCAAACATGTTTAAAAATGCCAGGTTTATTTCATATTTGTTGACAACAGTTTTTAATTTTCTGTATCAGTTCATTCTGTGTCAACTGATGTGGCGTATATCATTCTCTTTAAATATCCCCATAAATAAAAATCTAATGGATTTAAATTCGGTGAGCGAGGTGACCATGCAACTGGACCGCCACGTCCTATCCATTTTTCTTGAAAATAATACAATCATACAATGCATACTCGAAATGAATTCTATATCTGTAATAACAAAAAATGCTTTATAACTCGGAAGTAAATGGTTTTTGGAATACTACCCATTAAGACTTTTTGGATTGTTTTTACGAGTATTACATACTCCTAAAATTTGATAAAATCTTTTTTGAACATCCTATATAGATGGGAAAAAATTATCGCGTGTCATTACAGAATAAATACAGATCGCATTCTCTCACGAGTGTCTCGCAACATCGCACGAGGCACGAACTCCTCGTTCGATTATATTATTCCAGTCCTAATTTCGATTCCTAATGTCGATCGTTTCTATCTGGCGGATACCTGGACCGCGGACGCGAAGATATCCTCGTCGTCGTCCTCCAGATCATCCAATTTTGTCTCGTTCGTGTCGAATAGTGGCGGCGATTCCATCATATCGGCCATCTTAGCAATTCTGTCAAGCAAATTACACTCTCTTTCGTTGGTTCGCCGGGGATCGGCCCCTCCGAACGATGTTTATGTCAACGACGTCAATTATTGCTATCGAGGCGATATCGGCATTATCGGCTCGCGGACGGCACGGGACTATCCGTGCGACGCTGCGACGCATCGTTCATTAAAATTCCATTATTATCCGCATGTCGAACGCGATAGGTCCGTTCGTATTAACGGCGCTTCCTATATCCTATTTAAGCCCGTATCAGATAACGCATTTGAAGATTAAAGATTGAAGATTAAAAATTGGAATTTAACCGATCAGAATAAAGAAAAATAAATTTTTTTTCTTTCGTTTGGTCAATTTTTAATCTTCAATCTTCAATCTGAAGCCTCAATGTATAATCTGATACGGGCTTTAGAGGAATTTTATAGCGTTTTCGAATGAACGGGTTAACCCAACCCGGTTCAATTAATCACTATATTTTACTATAAATTCAAGCCTTTTATTGGCAGAGACGATGCAATGACGTCATTAATCGCTCTGAAAGCGATTAAACTTGCTACGTTCGAAAACGCTATTATATTCCTTTTACAGCTGCGCTTCTCTCCTACATCTTAATTTTTTTTTGTCATTGTCTCCTTATCCCTTCGATGCTGAAAGATGTATTTATTTCATTTTATGCGTCCTGTGGAAAGTATACAATGAAATAAATACATATTGTTACGTTCGCGCTGGACGTTCGGTGTTATGTTCGCGCTGGATGCTTGGCGAGACATACCATACAGCACAGAACATTGCAATTACATTGCAGCAATGTTACAATCTTGCAAGTTGCAATGTAATATTGTTGAGAAAAATAAAAAATTTTATAACATAATTCTTTTTTTCTTGGCCCAATTCTTTACATCATTATTTTTGTAGAATATATTTGTACAACTTTTTTTGTTAAAATATTTTTATAACTTTTTATTTTCAATAATTTATAATAA